GAACCCAGACCCTCCTGCCTCAAAGGCACAGTGGGGAGAAAAGAAGAGATTGTAACTACAAGCTACAGAATGAAGCCAAGAATAGCGCAGAGACATTTCATATTAGCCCGGATGACACATTAACAACAAGTAGGGAGCTGGAGGGAATTGGTCCTACGTTGGCTGGAAAATGAGTTATAGGGCCCAGCAGGTCTCTCCTAAATCCGGCCGGCCCCTGGAGAAGAAGGAGCAGGTTTGGCCCCAAAATGACAGACCTTGCCGAGATCACTGGAGGCTTTGGTTGCCTCGCCTCCCAGCTCCTGCTGACAGGACAGTCCTGCCTAGAACTGTACACACATGAACTCTGGGCCCATGACCCTACACAGAGGAAGGTTCCACAGCACCACAAGCCAGATCTCTGCAGTAAGTAACCCAAAGGCCCTGCAAGATGGATGACATGACAATGCCACCTCCACCCCCGGCCTTTAGTCCCTCCATCAGGCAGGGGCTCGTACCCTACAATGCTCTCGGGAGTGCAAGGGGGGCAACTTGCGCTGTGTAGTGGCTTCCCCACTGCTGTCCCACACAGGTCAGGTTTGCCTGGATCCCCGCCCAGAGAACCAGGGGAAGAGTTTGTAAGGTCATGCCGATGGCTCGACAGCTGAACTGTGCTCCAAAGCAAGAGTATTTGGGTTGTGAAGCAGAGTTGTGGTTCTCACGCCTGGGAGAGGCATTCACCTGGGAGATCCACTGGACTGCAACCAAACTCACAGAGCCTCGCTGGCCAGATCCTAACAGGGCAGAGGCCTCTGTCTTGAAAGAGAAGGTTGGCCAGTAGTTCTGGCCATGGCCCAGTGGAGATGCTGCGCCCACACACAGCAGGAAAACAGCGACCCATGTGATGGGCCTGAGGAACCCCAAAGAGGCTTCTGCACCCAGCTCTATCGGACAGGAATTTTAGCCTATTTTGGAAAGAAACCAATAGAGTCTATTCAGCAAGAAGCCTGGAGCGGGTGGACAAAGCAACTGGGAGCAGAAAGTGAATCGCACACAATAGAGAAATATTGTATTCAAGGATTCCGCGTGCCAGCCAGCTGAGAGCAGGACTGCGACAGCGCACCCCAGTGGAGATTGCATGACGGTAATTTCATCACAGTAGAGACCAGCTGAAGGGAAGGAACAATGTTCTGCAGGTCAGTCTATGAAGAGAGGGTATGTCTACACTACAGCACTAATTCGAACTAACTTAATTCGAATTAGTTAATTCGAACTAAGCTAATTCGAACTAGTGCATCTAGACCTAAAAACTAGTTCGAATTAGCATTTTGCTAATTCGAACTAGCATGTCCACATTGAGTGGACCCTGAACCGGGGTTAAGGATGGCTGGAAGCAGTGCCGGCAGGGCATCAGATAAGGACTTAGAGCATGGAGCTGCTGTCTCAGGCTAGCCGAGGGCTGTGCTTAAAGGGACCCAACCCCCACCTCAGACAGACAGTTCTCGGGGGTTCCCCACTCGCTTGTCTAACTCGATGAGGGACAGCAAAGCAGTCCTGGTTTGGAGTGCCCTGAATGCCCACACTTGGCACATCACAGCACTCGGCCATCAGCCCGGCTGCACTTGC